AGTCTTACTCTTGTTGCCTAGGCTGGAGTGCAATGGTGCGATCTTGGCTCACTGCAACCTTCGCCTCCCGAGTTCAAGTGATTCTCCTGCCTCAGCCTCACGAGAAGCTGGGATTACAGGTGCACACCACCACACCCGGCTAATTTTTTGTGTTTTTAGTAGAGATGGAGTTTCACTATGTTGGCCAGACTGGTCTCGAACTCCTGACCTCATGATTCACCACCCTTGGCCTTCGAAAATACTGGGATTACAGGAGTGAGCCACTGTGCCCAGCCTATTTATTTATCTTTGAGATGGAGTTTTGCTCTTATTGTCCAGGCTGGAGTGCAGTGGCGTGATCTCAGCTCACTGTAACCTCCACCTCCCGGATTCAAATGATTTTCCTGTCTCAGCCTCCCAGGTAGTTGGGATTATAGGCATCCACTATCACGCCTGGCTAATTTTTGTTTTTTTATGGAGATGAGGTTTCACCGTTTTGGCCAGGCCGGTCTTGAACTCCTGACCTCAGGTAATCTATCCATCTTGGCCTCCCAAAGTGCTGGGGTTACAGACGTGAGCCACTGTGCCTGGCCAGGGAATTTTAAATAATTGTGTTAATTATTATTAAAATAATTTGGTATGTGTTTGCTTTATTAGTGAGAGAGGTATGCTGAGATCTCCCTCTATTAATAAAGATTTGCCTGTTTCTCCTTATAAGCCAGTCAGTTTTTAGCTTTATATATTTTAAGACTTATTTAAAGGATGCATACAAATGTATAATTGTTAATTTGCTGGGGAAGTCAACTTTTCATCATTATGAATAGATCATCTTCGTTTCTAGTAATCCTTTTTGCGATAAAACATATTTTTATCTAGTACTAGAATAACTGTATTAGTTTTCATTTGGTCTTTATTTGCATTGTAAACATATTCCTCTTCCTTTTACTTTAAAAACTTTCTGCATCCTTATGTGTTACTTGTGTATTGTAAACAGTATATAGGTAGATTCTGTTTTTCATTCCACTCTGGTGATCTTTGTCTTTTGGAACATTTAGGTCATTTATATTTAAGGTAATTACTGATATATATGTAGGTTTAAATTTACATTCTGATTTCATGCTTTTTAGTTGTCCTGCCTGTTCCTGTTGTTTTTCTTTGATTTCTTGCCTACTTTGAGGTTGTATTTTTAGCAGAGATTGGGTTTCACCATGTTGAAACCCAATTTTTTATTCCATTTTCTTCTTCCTTTTTAGTTTAGAAGTTTATATACTTGTTTCCTTCTTTTAGTAGTTACCTTAGACATTAAAAAGTATCTCCGGGCCAGGCGCGGTGGCTCACGCCTGTAATCCCAGCACTTTGGGAGGCCGAGGCGGGTGGATCACAAGGTCAAGAGATCGAGACCATCCTGTTCAACATGGTGAAACCCCATCTCTACTAAAAATACAAAAATTAGCTGAGACTGGTGGTGCACGCCTGTAGTCCCAGCTACTCGGGAAGTTGAGGCAGGAGAATTGGTTGAACCCAGAAGGTGGAGATTGCGGTGAGCCCAGATCGCGCCATTGCACTCCAGCCTGGGTAACAAGAGCGAAACTCTGTCTCAAAAAAAAAAAAAGTATCTCCTTACCATAATAAGATCGGTATTATGTTTGCCCTCCTCTCAATGTAAGAATCTTAAAACATTTTAACTGTCTCCTTCCTCATTTATGATTTATATTGCTTCTAGCTTTAATTATTATTGTTTTTTAGACAGAATTTCACTCTTATTGCCCAGGCTGGAGTGCAATGGCATGATCTTGGCTCATGGCACCCTCCACCTCCCAGGTTCAAGCAATTCTTCTGCCCCAGCCTCCCGAGTGGCTGGGATTACGGGCATGAGCCACCATGCCCAGCCAATTTTGTATTTTAGTAGAGATTAAGTTTCTCCATGTTGGGCTGATTTCAAACTCCTGACCTCAGGTGATCCTCCTGCCTCAGCCTCCCTGAAGTGCTAAGATTACAGGTGTGAGCCACCGTGCCCAGCCTATTTAATTCTTTAAAAAATCTCCTTCCTCACTATTTTTTCAGATCTTTCCTTTTTATGAGATAGAGTTTCGCTCTGTTGCCCAAGCTGGAGGGCAGTGGCACAATCTTGGCTCACTGCAACCTCTGCCTTCTGGGTTCAAGGGATTCTCCTGTCTCAGCCTCCCCAGTAGCTGGGATTATAGGCTCACGCCACCATGCCTGGCTAATTTTGTATTTTTAGTAGAGATGGGATTTCATCATGTTGGTCAGGCTGGTCTCAAACTCCTAACTTCAGGTTATTCACCCACCTTGGCCTCCCAAAGTGCTGGCAATACAGGTGTGAGCCACCATGCCTGACCTCAGATCTTAGTTTTTAATTTTTTTAAAATTTTGCTTTAAATTCTGGGATACACGTGCTGAACATGGAGGTTTGTTACATAGGTATACATATGCCATGGTGGTTTGCTGCACCTGTCAACCCATCAACTATGTTTTAAGCCCTGAATGTGTTAGGTATTTATCTCTCCTTCCCCTTTCCCTTTTTTTTTTTTTTTTTTTTTTGACATGGAGTCTTGCTCTGTCACCCAGGATGTAGTACAGTGGTGCAGTCTTGGTTCACTGCAACCTCCGCTCCCAGGCTCAAGCGATTCTCCTGCCTCAGCCTCCTGAGTAGGTAGGATTACAGGTGCACACCACCATGCCCAGCTAATTTTAAAAATATTTTAGTAGAGATGGGGTTTTGCTATGTTGGCCAGGCTGGTCTTGAACTCCTGACCTCAGGTGATCCACCCTCCTCGGCCTCCCAAAGTGCTGGGATTATAGGTGTGAGCCACCATGCCCGGCCTCAGATCATATTTTTTATTGTAAAATATATAAAACATAAATTTTCTCATTTTAAGCATTTTTAAATGTGTGATCAGTGGCATATTAAGTATATTCACAATGTTGTGCACCCATCACCACCTTTCAAAATCATGCCTAACAAACTCTGTACCCATCAAACAGTTACTCCCCATTCCTCTCTTCTCCCAGCCTTTGGTAAACTCTATTCTACTTTTTGTTTCTGTGAATTAACCCATTACATGTACCCAATATAAATGGAATTATGTAATATTTCTCCTTTTTGTTCTCCACTGCCCACATGGGAATGCAGTGATAGGAACACAGCTCGTTGCAACCTCAACCTCCTGGGCTCAAGTGATCTTCCTGTTTCAGCCTGTCGTATAGCTGGGACCCCATGTTCATGCCACAAACCTGGCTGATTTTTACATTTTTTTGTCTCACCATGTTGCTCAGCCTGGTCTCAAAATCCTGGATTTCCCAAAGTATTGTGATTACAGGTGCGAGCCACCGTAGCTGGTCTTATTTCAAACTCCTTTTGTGTCTGGCTTATTTCACCTAACATGTTTACAGAGTTCATCCATGTTGTAGTATATATTCATTCTTTTTTATGGGTGAATGATGCTGTTTCATTCATGACTGTACCACATTTTGTTTATTCATTCATCCGTTGATAAACCTTTAGAGCTGGGCACTGTGGCTCATGCCTGCAATTCCAGCACTTTAGAAAGCCGAGGCTGGTGGATCGCTTGAGCCCAGGAGTTCAAGACCAGCCTAGGCAACATAGCAAGACCCTGTTTCAAGAAAAAAAACAAACAAAAAGTTTTAAAAAATAAATTAAAATGTGTGTGTGTGTTTGTGTGTGTGTTTATGTATACATATATGTGCTTTAGCCTCAGTGCAGATATTCTGAAGCAAGAGATCAAGAATGAGATCAGGCCAGGTACAGTGGTGCATGTTTGTAATGCTATCACTTTGGGAGTCTGAGGCAGGAGGATTACTTGAGTCCAGGAATTTGAGACTAACCTGGGCAATATAATGAGACCCTGTCTCTTAAAAAAAAAAAAAAAATAGTAAGTTGGCTGGGCCCAGTGGCTCAAGGCTGTAATCCCAGCACTTTGGGAGGCCAAGGTGGGTGGATCACCTGGGGTCAGTAAATCAAGACCAGCCTGGCCAACATGGTGAAACCCCATCTCTACTAAAAATATAAAACTTAGCCAGGCTTAGTGGTGGGTGCCTGTAATCCCAGCTACTAGGAAGGCTGAGGCAGGAGAATCGCTTGAACCTGGTAGGCAGAGATTGCAGTGAGAGAGATCGTGCCACTGCACTCCGGCCTGGGCCACAGTGTAAGACCTTGTCTCAAAAAAATAAAAAATTAGCTGATCATGGTGTCGTACACCTGTAGTCTCAGCTATTTAGGAGGCTGTGGTGGGAGGATTCCTTAATCCCAGGAGCTCAAGACCAGCCTGGGCAACACAGTGAGACCTTGTCTCTTAAAAAAAAAAAAAAAAAAAAAAAAAAATATATATATATATATATATATATATATATATATATACACACACACACACACATACACATATATATGTATATGTATATATAATATATTTATGTAATATATTTATATATTTTAAATATATGTTTAAGTATATATATTTAAAATATATATAATTTTTATATTATGTATAATATATAATTTATATATAATATATAAATTAATGTATATATATTTTTTTTAAGAGACAAGGTCTCACTGTGGTGTTTAAGAGACAAGGTCTCATCGGCATGCATCTGTGGTCCTACTTGCTTGGGAGGCTGAGATGGGAGGATCACAAGAGCCTGGGAGGTCAAGGCTGCAGTGAGCTGTGGTCATACCACAGCGTTCCAGCCTGGGCAACAGTGAGAACCTGTCTCAAACAAAAGAAAACTATGTTAGGCCTAATGACTCCAGGGGGTACCCTCCAGCTCTGTAGTTCCTGCCTAGAGCTGACCCAGTAGTACCCACCTCCAGTCGTTGGCCAATATTTCTGTCAGATGGGGCTGCCTATTATCCTTGAAGCCTTGGTATTGTCAGTCTCAGTGAGCTTGTTTGTTTAATTTTGCTTGTATATTAAAAGTATTTGTATCCCATGCAGAGATAACTTTATTCTCTTCTTGCCTCCTTCCTCCTCAAATTTAAGGTATTTTAGGGATGGTGCAGTTAAGAAACCTTATTCTCCAAAGACACTGTCCAACAAGAAGTCTTCTGCATCCTTGGGGATCCGGAGGGAGTTACCTAGTACCAGTCATCTAGTGCAGTATCGTGGCACACATGCTTGTACCCGACAGGGCCGGTTAAGAGAATTGCACATCAGGTGAGCTTATGGGTGGCCACCAGTCTACGGGTAGTTTTCTCTTAGTCTCTCTTCTTGGTTAAAATGAGGGAATAGTTCTTATTCTCTCATCTCAATTAGTTGGAGATCTTGATGCCTGTTCTATATAGTAGAATGTTCAGATAAAGAAGATATTCAGAAATCTGCAGACATAAAATCTGTCATTGAGTGTTTTCATTTCTCCACTTGTGCCCCGCAATACGAAGCTGTCAAAATTCTTAGACTTTTAGAAGAAATCTAAACATGGTCCAAGAAAGAAGGAACTACTCTTTTTTTTTCCCTCTTGGATTTTCTGGTGAATTCTAGAAGAGCTGTAATACTTCTGCTACTCTTGATTAGGTATATTAAAGACATCCATTTTTTTGTTCAAAAATGTATCAGGCCAGGCGTGGTGGCTCACACCCGTAATCCCAGCACTTTGGGAGGCCGAGGTTGGCAGATTACCTGAGGTCAGGAGTTTGAGACCTTGTCTACAAGAAAAATACAAAAAATTAGCTTGGTGTGGTGGTGCACGCCTGTAATCCCCGCTCCTCAGGAGGCTGAGGCACGAGAATCGCTTGAACCTGGGAGGAGGAGGTTGCAGTGAGCCAAGATTGCTCCATTGGACTCCAGCCTGAGTGATAGTAAGACTCCATCTCAAAACAACAATAACAAATTTATCAGGTGCTTACCATGTCAGGTGTTATGCTAGATGCTGAGTATATAAGATGAATAAGACAATCTTGGTCTATGACTTCATGAAAGTTTAAAATCAGGTAGGCTTGATAGACTGTCAGGCCATAATAGTAAAGTGAGATTAGTGCAATGAGAGGAGAAGGATGAGATACCACAGACATATATGGCAAGAACAGCCACACTAGTATAGCCAGCAATTACTCTCTGGAGGAAGTAGAGTTTAAGCTGAGTCCTGAAGGATAATGTAAGAATAAAGCAGATAAGGGCAGGAGAAGGTGTGTTTTAGTTGAGCTCAGGGGTTAACTATATAATATAAGACAAGCCACCTTTCTGTGTATGCCAGGCACTGTGCTAGATACTAGAGGTACCACAAAGCACCAGTTTCTGCTTTCAGGGTCTCACAGTGCAGAGGGAATGACAGACACCCTGTGAGCTGATCGCTGTGATATGGGGTCATAACATTACAAGAGGAGTTTGAACAGAGTGCTGAGTACACTGCTACCACTCTGTTTACATTGGAGACGGTTCAGGATTAGTGGGCATTTGCCAGGCATTGTAGGCAGGAAGAATAATATGAACAAAAGAAATTTGACGTACTTTCTATACCTCAGTTTTGAAGTTTTTATCTCTTCATTGACAATTTGCATTGAAAATCTATTTTTTAAAAAATCTGCTTGATTTTAGCTTCATAAATCTGCCCATCCTACGCCCTGTTTGATGCAAGATTAGCTATGATACCACTTTCTGACTCATACTTATGTCCCTCTGCCTTAGACCTTAAAGCCTTCCTTTCCTTTCCAGAAAAGTGATGGTGTAAGCCCAATGGAATTTTAAAATATGTATATCCTTTTTTTCCTTCTTTCAGATGCGTTGCCAGAAAGTTCTTATATTTATGGATTCGAATGACTTTTGGAAGAGTGTTTCCCTCTAAAGCCAGGTAGTATTAGCTCAGAACAACATATTCTGCTGGTTCATTCTAGGGTTTTCTTTTATATAAAGCCTATACATAATGTTTATTATGACTTGTGCTGTTACATTCCTCCCATGTTCCTCCCCAGCCTGCAGTAGGCAGAAACAGACCCTAGTATAACCATGTGATACAGTGGTAACTTCATACCTGTTAGGTGACTGCAGCTGCATTCATGGTAAGCTGTGAATGTTAGCTACAAAGTAGCCAGCGAAGGTTAAGTTTTAGTTTAATGTTATGGCCTTTAGCTACTGTGGCCTTCAGTTTCAAAGAAAAAGAAAGAAAAAAACAAATAAGCACATGATAAAATGAAAGAATCAGGCAGGGCTTGGTAGTTCATGCCTGTAAACCCAGTGCTTTGGGAGGCTGAGGCAGGCAGATCACCTGAAGTTATGAGTTCAAGACCAGCCTGTCCAACATGGTGAAACCTCATCTCTACAAAAATTAGCTGAGTGTGGTGGCATACCCCTGTAATACCAGCTACTTGGGAGGCTGAGGCAGGAGAACCACTCGAACCCTGGAGGTGGAGGTCAAGGTCAGCCGAGATCATGCCATTGCACTCCACCCTGGGCAACAGAGTAAGACTCCATCTCAAAAAAAAAAAAAAAAAGGAGAGAGAATCATACTTAAGTAAACCAGGATAGATAAGATCTCTCTGGGAAAAGTGTTTGCCCAAGAGAAGTAATTGAACTCTTTCAGGGGACTGAGAGCTGAGACTGCCAAATTGGCTTGATCTAGTGCATAACCTTGGGGAAAAAATTGCCTTTGCAAAGGAAGTGAAATTTTAGTGAGGAGCAAATCCCTCTGTCATAGCTTCATTTTGTTTAGACCAATGCTGTCCATTGCTGTGGTTTTGGGTTATAATTGCTATAGCTGCAGTGCTGAGAGTGGACTACAAGAGAGAGTCACAAGATTCAGGGACCCTGTGCAGGAGGCAGGGGGACTGGAGAGAAGGGGCCAGTGCAAGATATGTTTCAAAAGGAGAATTGGCAGTCTTTGAGAATGTAAGCGCTTCTTAAAAACCGAAGTGTCCTGGATTGCCTCCTTTTCTTCCCTTTTTCTTTACCTTACTATAATCTTTCCTGTTTCAGTTTTCTGGCAGTCTGACTCCTTCATTCAGTGTCTCTCAAGCAAACTTGGCCTGTGTGTGTTTTCTGAAATCTTTTCTTTGTATACTTTGTGAGGGGCCCTGCTGTTCCATCTCTTCTTTTTGTATCTTTACAGTGAAGCTCCTCATGTGGGTATGTTACCACCCGGATCTAGGTCCATTCTGCCCATGCATGGTAAATCAATCACTGTGACACAGGTTTTGCAAAAGAGAAGAGACTTATTTGCAAGGCCACTGAGGGAGGAGGTGGGAGAACAGGTCTTAAATCTGCCTCCTAAAAGATAAGCCTGAGGGATATTTGTGGGTTAGGGAAGCGGGGTGGTTTAAGGTGTGGGGAAAGGTGATTGGCAGTGGAGAAAATAAAGTAGCATTCATTGTGCACAATTGTAGTCAGAGTTTATGGCATTTCATAGGACACATATACAGGAAATGGAGGCATTAACATGATCAGAGGGTGGAGATTTTGGCCCTCAGGCATCAAAAGATCCTTTTGGGCACCTTCACAGGCCTAATTGAAGGGTTGGTGGTCTCTACCGGTTTGTACTGGACAGGAGTTAGCCCAAATTCCTGAAAAATTACTGAAGTGACCATTGCCGTGGTGACCTATGAATGTTATCTATAAAGTAGCCAATGAAGGTTGAGTTTTAGTGTTCAGGCCTGGTGTGGTGGCTCATGCCTGTAGTCCTGGCACTTTGGGAGGGTGAGGCAGGCATGGATCACTTGAGGTCAGGAGTTTGAAACCAACCTGGCCAACATAGTAAAACTTCGTCTCTACTAAAAATACAAAAAAAAATTAGACAGGCATGGTGGCAGGTGCCTGTAATCCCAGTTACTTGGGAGCCTGAAGCAGGAGAATTTCTTGAACCCAGGAAGCAGAGGTTGCAGTGAGCCAAGATCACCCCATTGCACTGTAGCCTAGGCAACAGAAAGAAAGTCTGTTCAGCTTCAAAGAAAAAGGAAAAAAAGAATAAAGCAAGTGACCAAAGCACGCAGGGCAGCAGATGTGGTCACTTAATCCCTGGTTTTCAGCTGCAGCCCGTCCCAGCTACAAGTGCTAGGCATTGTGCACCTCTATTTTACCTTCTCCTCCTGGATCTTGGGCATGTCATCCTTCACTGCCGTGGTAGCTCTTTAGTGCCTTAAATAAATTTTTTTTGGTCGGCTTTTTTTTGTTGTTCATTGGGAGAATTGAACTGAATTGCCTAGTTTGCTGTTATCAAAATTCTCTCTTTTTTGTTTAATTCAGTTGCGTATTCTATTGACTTCTTCACTGTCAGTATACAATATACAAATATGAATGTATATTTGTAACTTAACAAAATCTAATGTTAATTGGTCCTTTACTCTCTTCCTAAATAAGACAGGGTCTTTAGAGTAGTTTAGCTCTACCCATCTCCCTTTCTTTGTGTATATTTTTAAGTCTACAAAGCATTATTCTCATTTTATTTTTTTGAGACAGAGTCTTACTCTGTCACTCAGGCTGCAGTGCGGTGGCACAGTCTTAGCTCACTGCAACCTCTGCCTCCTGGATTCAAGCGATTCCCCTGCCTCAGCCTCCCAAGTACCTGAGATTACAGGTGGGAGCTTCCATGCCCAGCTAATTTTTGTATTTTTGTAGAGACGGGGTTTCACCATGGTGGCCAGTCTGGTCTCGAACTCCTGACCTCAGGTGATCTTACCTGCCTTGGCCTCCCAAAGTGCTGGGATTATAGGTGTGAGCCACTGTGCCTGGCCCTAAAAAATCCTTTTTTTTTTTTTTTTTAGAGACAGAGTCTTGCCCTGTCCCTGGGCTGGAGGGAGTGCAGTGATGTGATTTTGGCTCATTGCAACCTCCACCTTCTGGACTACAGGTGCACGCCACCATACCTGGCTAATTTTTGTATTTTTAGTAGAGAAGGGTTTTCACCATGTTGGCCTGGATGATCTTTATCTCCTAACCTCATGATCTGCCCATCTCCGCCTCCCAAAGTGCTGGGATTACAGGCATGAGCCACTGTGCCTGGCCACCTAAAATTTATTTTTACGCAATTTTATTTATCTATATTTGACCTATATTTGAGCAAGAACCTCTTTTCAAATAATGCCTATTTATATTCCAACTCCTTGGGAAATGCTGACTGTATGTTAGAAATACATTGACTCTAAGAGAAAGTCTGACAATGGCTGAAACATATTGAGATTTTCTTTTTCTTTTCTTTTTATCTTTTAATGTTTAACCTTTTTTTATTTTTAGAGACAGGGTCTCACTGTTTCCCAGGCTGGTCTTGAACTCCTGCACTCAAGCGCTCAGCCTCCCGAAGTGTTAGTATTACAGGCATGAGGGGATTTACTTTTTTTTTCTTTAATAAGCTATCTAGAGGTTGGCACCTACTGTTATTGCTTCAGCTGTTCAGTGACATCATTTCAGACTCAGCCTTCTAGTACCTTTCTAGTTCAGCATCCTTAGCACGTTGGCCCTTTGTCCTCATAGGGAACACTTTGTAGTTGCAAGATGACTATTCTAGCTTTACATAGGAAGGAGGGGGTAAGGGTGGTGTCAGTTTCATCTGTCTCTTTATCAAGAAAGAAAACTGCCCTAGAGTTTCCCCCACTGCATTCTGCTTCTGCCAATGACGTTGGCCAGAGCTTTGTCACTGGCAACCTTTAGCTACAGAGGAGGTTGGGAAAGAAATCTTTCTGGGCTCTTTAGTGGATACTGATGAGAAAAAGGGCTTGGCAGTGGGTGTTGTGTTAGCCAGTGACTGCTAACACTGCTATGCTGCTTTAAAACATTTGCATTATGCTGTTTTTCATTTCTTTGCTCTTTAGTGGTAGCCAGGTGCATGATCTCAGCTTATGAATTTAATGGACAATGCTAAAGCTATATCCTCCCTCCCTCCCTTCTACTGCCTCTCCTCCTTAGAGATGGGGCCACTCTTTTGATTCTGGTGTGATTGTTCTCACTTTTTTGATTCTGGTATGATACTCTTTTTCCTGTAAAAATTTGTGCACATGACCATAAAGAATAAATGCATGGTGTACTCCTGTAGTCCTGTCTACTTGGGAGGGAGGCTGTGGCAGGAAGATCATTTGAGGCCAAGAGTTTGAGGCTAGCCTGGGCAGTGTAATGAGATCCCATCACTTAAAAAGAGGCAGGAGGTGGCTTATTGAAGACCAGCACTAGGAGCAGACTGATACTCTGCTCTGGTGCAGCACACAAGGAGAGCTAGTCATGTGATTTCTTTCTTCTTTTTTTTTTAGAATAGAGACAGAATCTTTATCTGTTGCCCAGGCTGTTCTCAAACTCCTGGCCTCAAGCAATGCTCCCACCTTGGCTTAAAGTGCTGGGATTACAGGCATGAGCCAAGGTAAGAGGATCACTTGAGCCTAGGAGTTCAAGACCAGAAAGGCAATATAGTGAGACTGCATCTCTCCAAAGGAAAAAAAAAATTAGCCAGACGTGGTGGTGCATGCCTGTAGTCCCAGCTCCGTAGGAGGCTTATGTTGGAGAATCACTTGAGCCTGGGAGGTTGGAGTGCAGTAAGCCATTGATCATGACACTGCACTCCAGCTTGGGCAACAGAGCAAGAACATGTCTCAGAAATAAATAAATAAATAAATAAATAAATGGTATGGCCTTGTGTAGTTAGAACATTTATGAATGGTGTCATACTTTACTTTGCAAATTGGATTTTTATTGCTACAGTATATTTTTGAGGTTTGGCTGTGTGATTCCTCTCTTTTTTTTTTTAGTTAGTTATTATAAAAGATATGGAAGTTATTCACATGATGAAAGATTTCAGAATTTCAATGGAATGGGCAGCTTTACATTGATGTCATTTCAATAGTGACTTATTTCAGTCTACATACTTTCCAAGAATGT